TAATAGTACTTAACTCCAAGAGTTGTAGAAAGGATTGAATGAGATAATGCACATAATGTTCTTAGTACAGGCTCTGGGATAGAGTAAGCATTCTGTAAATGTGGGTTTTCATTGTTTCCCCCATTCCTGTTCCCAGGAATAATATTTGAATACAGTTAAAGATATAATAATTATTTTAATTAGAGAATGAAGGAGATAATCAAATATGAGGGAATGCATAGTTTTCAAAGTGAGCTTAAAAGGTTGATTTAGAAACAGCAAGCAGATGGGGCTGGCCCTGTGGCTTAGCGGTTAAGTGCGCGCACTCGGCTATTGGCGGCCCAGGTTCAGAACCCCGGGCGCACCCCGACGCACTGCTTCTCCGGCCATGCTGAGACTGCGTCCCACATACAGCAACTAGAAGGAGGTGCAGCTATGACATACAACTATCTACTGGGGCTTTGGGGAAAAGAAAAAAAAGGAGGAGAATTGGCAATAGATGTTAGCTCAGAGCCGGTCTTCCTCAGCAAAAAGAGGAGGATTAGCATGGATGTTAGCTCAGGGCTGATCTTCCTCACAAAAAAAAAAAAAAAAAGAAACAGCAAGCAGAGCATTCTCTTACCCCTGACTCATTACAGTGTAACTCGTTAAAATATCCCTGAGTTACAGTATACCATCAAAGTCATCTTCATAAATATGGTTTAAGTGAGAAGTCCTGTCCTTTCCCCTCCCAGTTTGGAGAGTTGTATATTGATATCTGCTGTCTCATCAGTGTGATTTCCAAGGGGCATTATCTTTATCATCATTTGTTTCCAATTAGTAATTCCTGATTGTTAGTTGATTTTCAGATAAGCCTTTTGGGGAGTTTTATTTCATTTGTAATCACTTACTGAAATTGTATAGGTTTCTGGATTCTTTCAGCAGCCAGTGGTGGGCCTGTCACTAAGTGCTGTGGTTCATACTGCACTTGTTTAGAGTAATTCTCCTTATTTTTTATTGCGATAGCCCGTGAAGTATAAAAATTGATTTTAAGGTGAAAAGAGTTGTTTTATGATGGTACAATTAAAAAATAGAGCAACTCAGTTCTTGGTACAATGAATGAAACATGCATTTTTATTTATAGCATTATCCCAGGATCATTGTGTAAACTCTGTCTGACATATTAGTCTAAAGTAAAATTGTAGATTAAGCATTGTGTCTTTCTTTGGGAGTCCTTAACCCCGTTGTTTTGTGATTTACAACAGCTCTGCCACTTCCTGCGTAACATCATGTTTTCTGGATTTTTTTTTCTGGTTTTTTTCCTTTTATGCCAATCTCTTCAGTTGGTGCAATTTTTTGGTCTGAAAATCCTTTCCTGAGAAGTGCTTTTAACTGTTTTCAGAAGACCAGTTGGAAATTATAGATATTCAGGCCAAGGTTAAGCACGAGGTGGTGATGGTGATATTGAATGGCATTCACATTGCTAATGTAATTAAAGTACCCACCAAGCTGAGGTGGAAGAGACACTAAGAGACTGACTGACTTTTCGTCTTAAGGCATTTGACCAGGATAAGATATAACAGGAGGAGAAAGAAGAACCATTTCTTATCTTTTCTATGCAGAGGAGGCATTCCACCTCTCCTTGGAGACTCCTAAGTTGCCACTGCCCTCTTTTTCATTAAATTCTCTCCAATTTTGGTTCCCTACGTAATGTCTAGAAAGGTCCCCAAATTGTCTTTCCATCTTTTTTTCCCTTTTCCTTTACATTAACATTATTTCTCTTTCCTTGGTGTGGATTATATATCTTTGTAAGGAGTTAGGAAGAAAATCTGATTCAACTAATTAATACAAAAGCTCCGTTTACCGGTCCCAGTATTTGCATTTTCAAAGAGAAACTTGTTCAGGTGGACCTCCAAACAACAATTGATGGGTTTTCAAATTGTGTGACAAAAAATTGGGATGGGGCAAAGTTTTTTACCTTGACTCTTTAAATCTTTGCTATACTGTGATTAGCTCCCTGAAGTTGTTTGTGCTTTTGGTAGCTTCTCTCTTCTTCCTGTGTTTCTAAACTCATAGGTTTTTCAAAAGTTCTGTGTGCACGTATGTTAGGATTTTTTGTATATGGGGATTGGTGGTGGTGATAGTTTTGTTTTCATAACTCTCACTGAAAACCCCTCCAATCCTACCCTAACATGAGCAGTCCTCTTGGATAGCACTGAGACTATCAAAAATTTCCAGGTCTCTGAGGCCTACCCCGTGGTGTAGTGGTTAAGTTCTCGGACTCCGTTTCGGCAGCCCGGGGTTCGCAGGTTCAGATCTCGGGCACGGACCTATGCCCCGCTTATCAAGCCATGCTGTGGCAGGAATCCCACATATAAAGTAGAGGAAGATGGGCACGGATGTTAGCCCAGGGCCAATCTTGCTTAGAAAAAAGAGGATTGGCAACAGATGTTAGCTCAGGGCTAATCTTCCTCACACAGACACACAATTTCTGAATCTCACCAAGATGGATATTTGAGGAACTCTTAAATGGGGCAAATAAACAAACACTTGACATACCACACTAAAAGTTTGCTACCCCCCAAATTAAGAAAATGATCTGACAGTTCTTTTTGCAGAAGAAACGTTAAGTCACACCATCCAAATATAATTGCTTTGGACTACTCAATGCAAATAGATACTAGGAGGCAAATTACAATCAAAATGGTTTGAAGATATCTTGAATTTTTAAATAATCTTTCAAATAATTGCAAAAAAATTTCAACAACTTCAAAGTAAGATATTTATCTTCTTCATTCTAACTGGAACCAGTTTTGCCCCAAAGGTATATAATACATGACTACTTTGGTCTCCCCAGTCCTATATGTAGGCACTCACAGAACTGGATATAATCATACAATGTAAATAATCCTTTTCATATGATGAGGGAAAATTATATAGCATTAATAGAAACTTACCAATTAAAGTAGTACCATATAGTCTTTACTCTGACCTAAATGTTTGCCAGGTCAAGTCAATGTTGAGATGAGTTTTCTTTATTCACATGACCATGTATTAATATATGGAATCCTGCTGGGAGATAGGGTACTTATTTAAAATAAATCTTTGCACCACCACCATCCCCAGTGTATTCCAAAGATACTTTGAAAATACTTAAATAATCAAAGACATTGCATTTCTTCCTGAATCGTAGTCACTGTGTATTAGAAAGCAGTGAGCAGACTAAGTCAGTAGGCCCTTCTAACCTGAACTGATGTTCTCCACAGTTGCATATAAAAGAACTAGATAGTCCCTATAAGGACTATCATTATATAATATGTAATTCAGATGTTAGTGAACTTTAAGAATTATAAATTGTGAAAGTGCCACGTGCTGTACCAAAGCCATGGTCAGATATTACTGGCCAAGTCCTATATAAAAAATATTTTCTGATTTTGTAAAAAGAGAGGGATTGGGCCGGCCCCGTGGAGTAGCGGTTAAGTGCACGCACTCCACTGCTGGCAGCCCGGGTTTGGAGCCTGGATGCGTACTGACACGCTGCTTGTCAGGCCATGCTGTGGCAGCATCCCACATACAGTGGAGGAAGATCGGCACGGATGTTAGCTCAGAGCCGGTCTTCCTCAGCAACAGAGGAGGATTGGCATGGATGTTAGCTCAGGGCTAATCTTCCTCACAAAAAAAAAAGAGAGGGAAAGGTAAGAGGCAATTTAGGTAGAATATACTTCTCTAACTTTTTAAATTTATGTTACCTTTTGACTTTTGTCAAAAGCCAGTCTTCTCTTAGGCATAATAGAGAGGGACTTCTGACTTAAAATGGAATTGAAGATCATTCTCACTTGAACTCAAAAGTTGACAACATAGCAGGGTAAAGTCTATACCAGACCTGTTAAGCTTTTCTGTTATTACTGTGGTCTTTCACATGATAGGAGTCTGGTTGGAATTTTTAAAATACATAATTACTGTTTCAAAGCACTTAATTATGTGAGTGCTTAATACCATTTAATGTCATTAGATACACTATTAATTGCTTAATATGGAACAATGGGAACAAAACTACACTGCATCAGGAAGCAGTTTTATTTCTTCATTCAACTAATGTATGAAATTTTTAATGCATTTATTTATCTTTAAGTCATAAAAATTGTCAAGTGTTATCTTTGGGCATAGATTGGTACATTTCTTTAGATACTTCATCAATTCTTACTTATACATAGTGTTTTTATTATTCACTTCAATTTTTGCAAAGCGAGTTTGTTTTGTTTTTAGCAAGCAGGTTTTAACTGCACAAATTGGCTTTTCTATAAGTGTATGTGATTCCACTGTTCTCCCTTATCTAGTTGTGTATACCAGCCTTCTCTAATGGAAACTTGTTATGAGGAGTGTTTTATTACCTAACCCTTCTACCAAATGCCTATTCTTATTCTTAGGTACCTATATATGAGGGTTATAGATGTTAACATATCATATACTTTGTTTAGAAAAAAAATTAATTTCTTTCCTATGTCTCATTCTGGAAGATTCTATCCAATGGAATACAACACAAGGCACAGAAGGAGGCCCTGCCTCATGGAATATTGGAAGTTTTAAGACAACAGAGTCCAGCTATTCTTTGTAACATAAAATGGGATTATTTGCCTTTGCTCTTTTTCTTTTTTAAACTCTCTCTCTTCTTATCTTTATCCTTCTCTCTTCCCCTCAAAAAAGAATCTTTCAGCTGGCTCTCCAAGGGTTTAGTTTCCCCCTTTTGGAGGGGGCAGGTGTTAGGTTTAGGGCTTGGCAGAGTGTTAAAGCATTGATATAATCAGTTTTACACAAATTAGGTGTTAGCTAGAAAACTGAAGGACATTCCTTACCAAGCCATGACACTATACTGCTGTAACTTAATAAAAATTGTCCAAGTGACAGTGTATCTGCTGAATGGATTTTCTTACACCATCTGCTTGTCATTGTAGTTTTTTTTGTTGTTGCTTTCATTTGAAATGTGCTGATGATCTTGTTTTTATTCCGTAGCATTGAACAGATGGGTTGATTATTCTTTTCAGATATTAATAAGGCAGCGGAAAGAAGAAATATGAATACGGCTCCATCAAGACCCAGTCCCACACGAAGGTAAAGTACCCTGAAGCAGTGAGTTACCTTGGGAGAGTTGGGCTCTGGGGAGTTAAGCCCAACTTCGCACATCAAGGGTCTTTTCTTCCCCCCAACAAATCAGAAACGCTCAAGCAAACAATTAAGAACATGAACCTTGTGTGAAGGGCCTTGCTGCTTTTTTTAAACATACATCAGGAGATGCAGAGGAAGCTTTGTGTTTTCGGTGGCAAACCCAGCAAGTTCAGCTTGCAGCATGAGTTGCAGGCGATTGGAAGAGGATAAACCTCTGTCTGTCCCCAGCTCACGTGTCAGTGGGAGCCTCCACAGCAGGAGGAGTGCCCCAGGGTCGTTGGTGTGTGCCATGCTGCACTGCAGCGGGCAGCAGAGATTCGACTCTTCATTCCAAATGGCTGCCGGTCCAGATGTTAACCCAGGTTTACGGGAAGTGCTGCTTGAGAGATTGCTGCTGTGCCTGTGCTGCAGATCCCCTGTTTGCTCGCATGCTTGGGTTACCTATTGAGGGGAAATAAAAAGGGCAAAAACACTCCACCTCTCTAAAGTCTCCCTTTTTCTTAGCTTTCCTGGAAATAAAAGACATTTCCCCAATATATTCTTCCTTCCAGTGTATACAAAAGAGATAGTCCTGATGTGTACCCTCAAGATATGCGTTAAATTGGCCTCTTCTCTCAAAGAAGAGCCTTATTAATGTTACCATTTACACCAAAGATGAGTATATTGTATCCAAAGTGTCCGCCCCATAACAGCACACAAGTGGATGCAGTGTGTGCAGTTTTGTGTGAAACCCAGACCGATGTGATATATTTCATATCTGGTGTCTCTTCAGGGCCCAAGCAGATACTCAGTATGGATTTTGCCTTTGCCCCTAAGTAAAAATGCCAATTTTCCACAGTAAACTACATAGCTAAAGTACCGCTGTAAACTGCATTTCCTACAGTGAACTGAACACTGCTGAGTACAATGAATCCTAGTCTGTACTCGTAGCTCCACAGATCACCTGGGGATGTACCCAACTAACTGAGCACTTACACATAACATACAGCTGTCCTGCTTTGGGACAAAAACATCTATATTTTGTTACCTACTTATTGGAAAGAATGACTGCTGTATGTTTGGTGTATATACCCCTACTTGGAGGTGAAGAGTATTTTCTAACCCACGATCAATAGATAACACACATCAACTTTGAACACACATCAACTTTGCAGAGTTCAAGCAGATCCTTGGGGGAAAATAATACTGCTGATGTCAGTTGGATTTTTTGAGCACTCTGCCTACACAGAGGAGTTGAATCTGACACCACAACTTCAGCTACACTACAGCTGTCAGGTGGATGCCCTGGCCATCCATTGACTTCACTGCAGAAGTGAGCATATATATTTGTACTCTGTCTGTTCTCCTTAACCCTGTAAGGAATGCCTGCAGCTTGCAGGTAAATGCTATATTGATTGATTTTGTGTGTATGTCTGAGTATCCTGAAGAACATAAATGAATCCTCTAGAACTTCAACAGTTCCATATAATGTCTTCTTCCGTTATGTTGCATCTAACCACGCTGCAGATGTTGGGCAGTCCCATCTGTGTTGCTCCTCGTTGCCCCAGTAAACATAGAATACAGGTGGCTAAGAGTTTACGTCTAATGGCCAGAAATATGGAGCTCCCGTTGGAAGCTGTGGTCACCAAATGGCTTGAAAGGAGATATAGTGTGTATCCAGTTTCCAAGGAGCTCTAATGTGTGTGCTTCTGAACAAGGTAGCTTACCAGAGGAGTGTGGAATTGGTAACTATAGAGACACTGACTCCACTAGTAAAATCCTCCCCCGTCTCTGTTGTCCTCAAGATGCGTATGATCTCTGGGTAATGTTGTCTGTGTTTCCTTAGGCAAAAAAAAGAGACAGGGCACATTGCAGAATAAAAAGTAGTTCCTGTTTGTGCTATGGATTGAGAAGAATATTTTATGTCATCCCATTAATGATACTTAACCAAATGCTTTTAACATTTCCAATTGATTGTAGGTGTTCAACAAACATTGGCAATGTAGGGGAAATAACTGACTCCCTTGGTTGGAATCCAATGTAGGCATTGCCAGGCATTAAATTAAAAAGATTAACTTCATCCCAACCTAAAATGCAACTCCATAATTTCATCTGTAATAAAAGAAATAGCTTTATGCTTTTTTTTTAATAGCCTCCCCAAAGAAAAGCATTCAAACAACATTGGCGGGGGCCTTTTAAAATGTTCTCCTTACCAGATATATAAATATAAATATATAAAGTCACTTTTATATATCTTTTAAAATATCACCTTCTTCAGAAGTAAATTCTAAAATGAGGTTGTTGGGGATATGGATGGGGCAGTGGCTTCCTGATTTATTTACAATCAGTATGAGGGACAGCTAGGCTAATTCAAATTCCGTTAAGAATCAGTCTTCCCCTTGGTGATATGTCCCTAACTGGGTTCCTCAGCATGTTATTTACTTGATGAAGTTTCATACAGTCATGCTTAATAAGGTTCAGGGAAGAGGGATGTTCACATTTAATAAAATCTGTTCTGAGCCCCATCTAAAACCTAGGCAAAGAGTCTTAGTTTTTTACCTTTAAAAATAAAAATTTAAGAACCTTAAAGCCAGATAAATTGAACATTGTGTTCAAAAGAGAACACTAACATTTAGATCGTTGCCATGATCATGCATTCTCTCTTAAGATATACTGGTAGGGCAGAAATAAAATGCAATAAGTAAGCAAGATGGGTGAGTGGTTAGCCTGGAAGGGACTAATTATTTCTCTGAGAGTGAACACTGAATATCACTCTCTTTGGGTGCATACTTCCAGTCAAAGCCTTGAGGTAATTCCAGATGTACCAGTATTTTGACAACAACCAAACTGCCTGCATTGGCAACCCTAATCATTTTATTTGCCCAAGCCATAGGGAGTGCATTGTTCACAGGAAAAAACCAGTGTACCTATAGCAAATTTTTCCCTTAAGTTGTACCTCTGTGTCTTCAGTGTTGCTACTTTTAATAAGAAAATTGTTTTTAAGCATGCTGGCAAGACCTTTGTAACACCTTGTTTTGCTGGACTTTAACCTTGAGTATCAAAACACCTAGGTATCTTTGGGAATTTTCACAGGATTATCACCTCTTCAAATGTCTCTGTAAGTGACGGTTCTGCTGGCATTGCTCTCTGTTCAGTAATATGCCTCCCTAATGACTCCAGCTGTCAGTGTGTAATTCTGACAATATTGGCCCAGCCAAGCAAAGAACTCTGCATCAGGGATCCCTGCTATAGATCACATTTCAGCCTGAATTCTCATCATTTGACCTTTGGACCACTTCGTTGGACTCCTTTGAGTACACTGTGTAGTTACCATGCAAGTCGTCTAGCATTGGCACTGCACGTTAGTCCTTACCTTCTTCAAAGACTGGACCATTATTCTGGTTGTATATCAGATGTTCTCAGTTCCTATCTTCAGCTCAATACCTTGGCAGCTCAGGTCCTGGAGCATAACCCTATACAGACGTGGCCTGCAAGTGAGACTCTGTATTTCCTGATCCTTGCTGCATGACCTAAAGAAGAGCAAATAGAATTGCCTTGTCTGCATCGAAAGCTCTGCAGAGAATTTTCCCCATGTATTTGTGAAGGATGTTAGGCCTGGTGCCTCTTCGGTGAAAGTCATCAGGGATTGGTTCATCAGAAATAACCTAGCTATAGACAAGTTTCTTAACGTGGCCAGAGATGATTTCTACATATCCACAGTGTTAATTCCTTTGATAACTGCTTGTTCCTTGGATATGAGACAGCCCTAGCTCTAGGTGGGCCTCACAATTAAGGATTCCAGGCTGTGATTACCTCTGCACTAAAACTTAAAGAAGAGCCGTCAGTTCTCAGCAAGTGCCACCTCCACCAACAGAAAAGCTGTATTTGTGCCTGAGAAAATCGTCAGCGTGCTTCCTAGGGAGAAGCATGGGCACTTAGAAAATTTGGATCTGTGAGGTCTGATATCTCATTGCACCCCATATCCTACCTGCGCCTAATGGCAAAATTCTGCACAAGTCTGTTGTCTCCATTTCTGGCAGTAGCATGGAGCCGTCGTGGTGGGGAATCAACATCACACAGCAGCCAGCCATTTAGATAATGATATTTGTGGACAGTATCTGTAACAGAACAGAAGTACGAAGAACTGATGAAGGACTTTTTTCAGGAGCAAAAAAAGGCTGGCCCTCCCAAGGAAAATACTCCAGTGATCAGAAAGGAGATGCTGATGAAGAAAAGGACAGAGACCTTCCTCCCTGACTTTCTGTACAGCCAAGGCTAAAGAACACCATCGTGAGCTTGAGGTTTCAGTCTCTAGCTGAAGAGAAGCTCAAAGTTCATCAGTCTTCCAAGATAATCTATCAGTTCTTACTCTTTAGGCTCTCAAATGCCTAGTGCTCTGCAAACCCCTTTAGTCCCCAGGAAGAGAAGCAGTTCTGCCAGAAGCACGTCACTTGCCATCTGAGCCATGGTTTTTCCCTTCACCCATCCCTCCCTTACCTCTCAAATGTTTCCAAATGATATGACTGTATTTCTCTTGAGGCAAGGAGCATTTGGCTTTTTCTTCCCCCTGCTGAATAGATGAGGAATTTGCAACAGAATTTTAGTAGTGTTTGTCACCTGCCTTCAGTTTGTGGACTCCACTGCTGAAATTTATTTAACCATTGTTTAGTTTCTTTTTAGCCTCTGGTGACCTGGTACCTGAGGGTACAATGGCATTTGGTCTCCAGTAGAACACCTCTGGTGCCATGGGATGATATTGTGAACCTAATTATGCTACAGAAGCTTGCTTCTAACCCACTTCTCTGAGGTCAAGCATCTCGTTCAGCAGGCTTCGTCCTTGCGGCACTCTGAATCCTCACACTGCACCACTCTTTAGTTAGCTGGTTCTTTTGAGAAGCATGTTGGGGCCAGCAGCAGGAGCCGTTTTGTTCTGGGGAGTTCTTTGTTTGGGTCCTAAAGTCACCCTAAAGGGCTTTTTGTTTTGTTTTTGTCTCCAGAAGAACAGCAGTCTGCCATACTGCTGGTCTTTTGGAGAAAGGAAAAAAGCTTTTGCCTTTTCGTTTTAAAGAATTATCACCTTCTCTGTCCCTACTTCCACCACTCTTTTGGTTCTTTTCCCCTTTGTGATATCCTCCTCTACATTTTTACCCAGAAGGCAATTGAGGGCAAATTAGTAGTTTTGTTGCACGTGGAGTTAAGATTCATTGAGAGAAGGGGAGTGCTTGCCTTCTCAAACTGGAAGCATGAACCCAGACTTTGGGAATTTAGGGTTATAGTCAACCTTCAGAGATGGATCTAACAGGTAAGTAAGGCATTTCAGAGGATTCAAAAGAATGGGAACCACATATGGCATTTATAATCATCCTAAGCCTGTGAATAACATGCTGTGATATGATGTTTTTATCCACGTCCCCACCCCCATTTCCACCAGCCCAAGGCTTTATGTGTGGTCTGTGGTCTGTCAGGTTCATGATCTCTCTCAGCTCTGATTGCCAAGAACACTTGAAATCGTATTCCACCTCTAATGACTATTTCTAACTGCTCCCCAAGGCGGGTTTATCTGCCAATCATTAATCCAAAAGTACTTTCAGTTGTCCCTTCCCATTGGCTCCTGAGTGTTTGCCCACATTATACACTATATCAGATGTTACACATGTTAGGAGGATTATTTGACATAGTAAGAAAAGCTGAAGTAAGAATCTTTGTTAGTCTGCTCTTTGTTCTAATAGAAAAGTGTTCAGCTGTCCTCATTTAAATTCCCTGGTCTCCCATTTGTTTGCTCCCACAAATCAGGAGTACTTGCTAGCCTAAAATACATGACAAGGACTTCTCATAGAAGCAAAATGGGCATTTAAATTGTTTTTGCTGTGCCCATGTGGATGAAGTGAAATTGAGGTTTTCTACCAAGCTGAGGGCATCATGATGAATGCCTAATATGTGTAATCATGGTAAATGACAAAAATATAAACAAAACATGGTGCTTGCTCTTGACAGGCTTACAGTTTAGTTGAATAATTCAATTTATTACTGAACTCTGAACTGAACTCTGCTGTGTCCTAGGAATACAAAGCCTTCAAGAGAGCTTCCTGTTTGGTAGGGAAGCCATGTAAACAGACAATTACAGAAGAGTGTGATAAGTGCAGTAATAAGAATATGTACGGGAGCAAGATTCACCCAGCATATTTATGGAGCATCTGCATGCCAGACATAAACCTACATAGTGGGTTCATAGTGGAGAGTCAAACTGACAGTCCTTGTCTTCGTGGGCTTGCAGTCGAGTAGGGCAGACAGACGTTAAACGAGTAGATAGATATGTGGTGTCAGAACGTGATAAATGACATAAGTAAAAACAAAGTGCTATGAGAGAATGTGGCCAAGATTTAGAGGTAGAAGATAAACTTTTAAACTAACAGAATCAGGGAGTAAGGGATACTTACTGCCTGAGACCTGGAAAATGAGTATGGATCTGTTCCTGCTGCTCAAGTAGAGGCATCAGGAAAAACCTTGGCTAGTTACAGCTGAAAGGCCAGTATGGCAAGAGAGCAGTGAACTAGGGAGAGGGTGAGATGAAGTTGGAGAAGACAGGAGCCAAGAGTTTGCAGGATCTTACTGGTCTTAGGAGAGATTTTGGAGTGGATTCTGAATACTGTGGGAAACCAGTGAAAGCTTTTACAGATTTAAAAGATCACTCTAGAGTAATCTGGAGAAAGATTAGAAAAGAGGCAAGAGCAGAAATGGGGAGACTACTTTAGAAGGCTCTAAAGGGAGAGATGATTGTGGGTTGGCCTTCAGTGATCCCAAAGGGAGGTAAAGCAACATGGGCAGAATAGATATCAATTTCAGGGAAAGAATGAGCAGAATTTGGAAATGTGATTGGAAGAGTGGATGGAGCTCTAAGGAAAGGATGACATCCAGTTTCCTGGCTTGAGCAACTGAGTAGATGGATGTGCCATTTATTGAGATGGAAAGGACTGGAGGAGGAGCATATTTGTTGGGGAAGATCAAAAGTTCAGGGCAGGTTTTATGGAGGAGGTAATTCATAAAGTGGGTCATAACAAGAAGACGTTGTAAAATGGTAACTACTAGATCAAGATGAGTAATAGAAATAGTAAGTGCTCTAAGACTTGAGCAGGAGGAGAGATCAGCAGTTACTAGGGAGATTAGAGAAGATTTCTTGGAAGACATGGGATGTGAACTTGCCTGTGAGGATTGAGTGATACTTAGATTAGTGCATGAAAAATATTCCAAGTTGAAAAATCATATGAACAGAAGTATTGAGACAGATAAGTCTTGTGAGTTAAGTTATAAGAACAGCTTAAGTAAAATTGAAGAGGTTGAATCAGGAAATGAAGGAGAAATAGTAGTTGGAAAGGGGCTAGATTTGTTAGGGAGGGGTGCCCAGAAGTGTGATAGTCAAGCTGTGATGGGTAACAGGTGAAAATTTTGATGGTTAATCTGGTATTTCTGTGTTGACTGAATTGAAATCTGAAAGATTGGTTTTTGTTTTGTGTTTTTTGGAAACTTGTTGGTGCCAGCATAGAAATAAGGATTTGGATTGAATCTATGAATCCAGTGGGAATAAAAAGGAAAAACGAACAGGATTCAAATGACTCCGTGGAATAGCGAAGGAAGAATCAAAGTTAACTTTCAAGAACTTAAACCTTGATAACTGGAAAGATGGTTTTTGGCAGAAGTGAAAAAGTCGAGAATGGGACTGAGTGGGTTGAATAAGAAGTTTAATTTTAGATATGTTGAGGTTGAGTTTCCAGCAGAGGGGAATGTCTCATGAAGAATATTGAATCAGGGCAGGCGAAACATATCTGTGACTTCAAACACTTAAAAAAAAAACACTTTGGCGAGAAGGAGCCTGTGATAAACCTCAGATTGTGAGAGACCACTACTCAGTAACTAATTTGAGAAGACAGAGAAACAGAGCGTTCTTATACTTCACTGTGTCATATTATACTTTTTCTATTTTCCCTTAATTTGATTATCCTGCTAGGTATTTTAAGTAAAATTTTCTGTACTTTAAGGACAACTGCTTTGATCACTGTTACTTTGTATGAGAGTGTGCCTTTTGCTCTTTTTTTCTTCATGAGTCTTGCCACTTATTATGTCCTCCCAATTTTTTCCCCCTTGTAAAATCTCTTTAAGTCTGGTAAGAGAGAACAGATTCTAAGAGACACTTTCACTTTGAAAACGTACTGAGATTGTGATGATAGTTTGGCATGCAAAAGGAATACGGAATGACTCCCTGAAGCCTGGTAAATACTGTGACCGAAGTCAGACAGAACCTTTGGCTTTGGGTCATAACATTCTTCCTTTGATGTCCTAATCTTTTGAGATTCTAGAACCTACTAGTCTTTATTTGCTGACCAGATGGATAACTGTCCTTAAAATTTTAGTCATGTTCTCACTGTTTGGCTGCCGTGTTTTAGAGAAAAACGCTTGAGGAGGGTGGGGGCTTCCTCCAATAAAGGGTTGGCTACCTTCATGTTCTTTGTCTTAGCATCTTCCTGCTACCTCCCACAGAGATCCATATGGCTTTGGAGACGGTCGAGATACAAGACGTGATCGATCCCCAATTCGAGGAAGTCCAAGGAGAGAGCCCAGGGATGGCAGAAATGGCCGGGATGCCCGGGATAGCAGAGACATGCGAGACCCCCGAGACTTGCGGGACCATAGAGATAGCAGAGACATTCGGGATCACAGAGACAGCAGAAGTATGCGTGATGCTCGGGACATGAGAGATCTTAGAGACTTTCGTGATCTAAGAGACTCGAGGGATTTTCGAGATCACCGGGACCCCATGTACGACAGATACAGAGAGATGAGAGACTCCCGAGATCCCATGTACAGGTACATATACAGCCATTCTGCTTGGTTTTTTTGTAACAGTTCTTTTTATGTGTCTTCTGTTGAACTAGTCGAAAGCTCTGCAAGGGAAGTGACTTTATCAGCCTTATATTTCCAGTGTCTATCAAGTGGTAGATGTGCTGCTCAATAAGTATTTGCTAAATGTGTGAATGTTTGATGAATTATGCTTAGTGGATGAATCTGGGTATCTCCCTGTGGCCTATGAAAAGCAACATTGTGCAAATGGAAAAAAGATGGAGTACAAATTGTTTTGGCAGTGCAAAGGCACAGGGAAGACACACAAATGGCCGGCAAATACGTGAAAAGATGCTCAACGTCATTAGTCGTCACGGAAATGCAAATCAAAACCACAATGAGATACCACTTCACACCCACTAGGATGGATGTAATAAATTATTTTAAAAAGCCAACAACAACAACAGAAATTAACAAGAGTTGATGAGGTATGGAGAAATTGGAACATTCATGCATTGCTAGTGGGAATGTAAAATAGCGTGGCTGCTGTGGAAAACAGTTTGGCAGTTCCTCAAAAAGTTAAATATAGTAAGATTACTAAGACCCATCAATTCCACTCCTGAGTGTATACCCAAAAGAATTGAAAAGAAGGACTCAAACAGATACTTGTATGTGAATGTGCATAGCAGCATTATTCACAATAGCCAAAAGGTAGACACAACCCAAATGTCCATCAATAGAGGAATGGATAAGAAGGTGTGATATATCCATACAGTAGAATATTATTCAGCTATGAAAAGGAAGGTAATTCTAACACCTGCTACAACATGGATGAACCTTGAAAACATTATGCTAAGTGAAATAGGCCAGATAAACACAAAAGATAGATATGGTATGTTTCCACCTATATGAACTATCTAGAAAAGGCAAATTCATAAAGACAGAAAGTAGATTAGAGGTTACGGGGTTTGGGTATGAAGGGTTACTGCTTAATAAGTACAGAGTTTCTGTTCAGCATGCTCTGATCAATGTGATGAAAAATTACTGTGTGTATATATATATAATTTTTTTAGCTATAATTTTTAAACACAGGGAAAGGGGACGGGAGAGTCATGGAATGGTTCCTCAAAACTAATATCAATCATTGCTACCAGTTATTTTGCATTTACTTTATGCCAAAGACTATGCTGAGAGCTTTCTGTATGTCATTCCAGTCATTTTGCAAGGCAGGTTAACTCAGTCACAGCCTCAGAGCTGAAAAGCAGTGAGTCCCAGAGACAAACCTCGTTTGTCTAATCCCGAAGTCCTATGCCTTACTGTGCTTACTTCCACACAGGGGACTGGGTCTTGAAGAATTGTCTATATCTGATTTTTGCAGGACAGGAGAGCTTTAACTTTGTGCAATTTCTTTAACTTTTTAGGAGAGAAGGTTCTTATGACCGATACCTGCGAATGGATGACTATTGCAGGAGAAAGGATGACTCTTACTATGACCGTTATAGAGATAGCTTTGATGGCCGAGGCCCTCCAGGCCCAGAAAGTCAGTCTCGTGCAAAAGGTAAAGTAGCAGAAGCAGCTTATTCCTAATACTGGTAGAACACTTTACAAAAGAAAGAAGGAACCAGTAACCAACTAAAAAGGGGCTAATGAGTTGGCTCAGCAATTCACAAAAAGAAGAAATACATAGCCTTTAATGTGTAGAGCATATTCAGCTTGAAAATAATTCCTAAAATGCAAATTAGTATCATCATCTGGGTAGTCATCCAACAAGAAGAAATGTGAAATTCCACCAATAAGAAATGAACAAAAGATTGGAGCTGAAGAGGTTAAGTGCTTGCTTTTTGCTCATTGACCAAATAACTGCAACTATCTGCATTATGTATGCAGCATGTGGGGTTTTTTGTTTTATTTATAATTTCTAATAGCATCTCTTTTTTAGGTAAAGATATGTTCTTTAAAAGCCTGGTTTTTCTCAATATGTCTTTAAAGATTTTTAAATTCTTTCCTACCTGGTCAAGTTGAGTTAAGAACCTGATTTTTAATTCACAATAAAACTTTACTACCTTATTTTTTTTTTTCCCCAAAAAAAACTAGTACCTGTCAATAAGGTCTTAAATAGTTGTCCCCAAAATGCAAATTAGAATAATAATGAAATATCATCTTTTACCTATCAGGTTGACAGGAATTTTTTAAAATGTCAGTACCCAGTGTTGACTAAGATGTGGAGAAACAGCATGAGGTGATCCACCCTGTGGAGGGATAAATTAGTAACAGACTTTCTAGAGGGCAGTTGGGCGATATGTCTCAGATGAAGCATTCAAATGACCATGCCCTTTAATTCAACCATTCCATTTCAATGAATTTATAATAGTAAAAAATATTAATGCTGGTTATTTTTAGGAGGTAGTCTAGAGGATTAATTCAGAGAGTGTGTGTTATGACCTTTGCCTACAAGTAGTTTAGAATTCAAAATACGGCTTCTGACTTACTTATATAGAAAGACACAGTCTATATTTCCGTTTTCTCTGGTGGTATCTTGCAGAGCGTTTGAAACGTGAGGAACGGCGTAGAGAAGAGCTTTATCGTCAATATTTTGAGGAAATCCAGAGACGCTTTGATGCCGAGAGGCCTGTTGATTGTTCTGTGATTGTGGTCAACAAGCAGACTAAGTAAGAACCCTTTGGATATTTCTCCTGAGTAAGGAGAAGGGTCAGAAGAGAAATTCAGCCTCCCTCTTGGCAGCCATACCCACTGAACTTGGGCTGAGTATTCTGGCATTGCTATGCTGTGTTAGCCAGAGTTCTTTCAGTTGTAGGTGACAGAAAACCTGTTGCAAACTGGCTTAGGCCCCAAAGGGAAATTTTTAGTTTGCTTGACCGAGAAGTTCAGGCATGGCCACATCCAGGGTCAGATCATGTCATCAAGACGATCTCTGTGTCGTCCTCATTCTTAAACAGGCTTTCTATTTGAAAAAGCAGAGTGGCACTGGCCCTAGATAGTTATCATCTTAGCTTAGCAAACCCAGTGGAGAGAGAACTTTTTTTCCCCAGTGCTTCCACCTAAAGTCCTATAATTGTTTCTCATTGGACTGACCTGGCTCACTTTCCCATCCCTGAACTGGTCACTTTAGCCAGTGGTGCTGGGATGCCCAGGGCTAGGTCACCTGCCCATCCCTAGTGCTAACGGTGGGATTAGCCCTGCGGAACCATGTAGACTGACTGGGAAGGAGAGGGGTGCCTTCCCACAGGATAATCAAAGAAGGGATATATGCTGGTCAGGCAAAGCAGTAGATGCTCCCTTCATGGGACAATCCCAAATCCCCAGTACTTTGGGAGGCACATGTCTCTGCATTCGTCAGCCAAGTACCAAGCCTTCTCTGTGAAGTGCCATGGCCCTGCAGAACTGTTAGGTGACCATGCTACCCAATCCAGAGTTCATAGCACCGTTTTACTCCACCTCTGTTTTACGTTCTTTCCTTGAAGAGGCAGAGCAGAGAAGCAGGAGGGAATATAGCAGCTTGCAGGCTTGGTAGTAGCTATGTTCCCTTTCCCCAGGTGGTTAGTAAATCACTTTACGTATTTTCTAGCAGTTTGGGGTTAAAAAGCTAATTTCAAGGCAGAGACTAGGGAAATAGGTGTTGAGACACCAAGCAGCAGGCAGAGTTCACAGGCTCTGGGCTGTCTTGGTTGGAGATAGATGCTGTTTTAACTGTAGATAGCTTTTTTTTTGACCTATGATAATAGCCATCGTTTTCTGAGCACCTACTCTGTACTACCCCGTGCTAGGCGCTTTACTTAAATTTTTTTTATCTTCACAATAATCATGTTACATGTGTGTTCATTCAGCAAATTTTTTGTATGTATGGCAGATGCTGGGTATTGGGGTTATAATGGTAAGCAAACACACACGGCCACTTCCTCTTGTGGAGCTTACACCCTAGTTGGATAGATAACAAGATAAAATGTATTGATGATGAGTCCTATGAGAAGAAATTTATCAGATTTAATTTAGATTGGAGAGAAGGTCAAGGAAATGACATACGAACTGAGCCATATTATTCCTGTTTTATTGGTAGAGAAACTGAGGTTTGTAAGAGGTAAAGGGATTTGCTTAAAGCCTCACAACGTTGCAAGTAAATGTTAGGGCTGGGATCCAAACCCGTCTTTCTAACATTTTAGCCCATGCTTTTCCCACTATGTCCTGCAGCCTCCCCAAAGACAGATACGTGTCACAGGTCTTTGGCAGCAGGGTAGTGTTAAGAAGGACTAGAGAATCAAGAGAAGGACCTGGGTACTAAATGCTCTGCTACTGGCAACTTCATGTGTGACCATTCTAAGCTGGTCATGGCTGTTCTGAGCCAGTGCAAAGAGAAGGAATTGCTCTAGATCCTTGGAGCCTGAGGAGGGCACCAGGGAGACACTGGGTGTGCTAGTTCATGCAGTTTAACATAAACTCTCCATAGGAGCACACACAGCTGGCTGACGTGCAACAGTGTGCAGACTGGGAGTTGGTCGGGAAGTGCTCACCTTTATTCTGTTTGTTTCTACAGAGATTATGCTGAATCTGTAGGGCGGAAGGTGCGAGACCTAGGCATGGTAGTGGACTTGATCTTCCTCAACACAGAGGTGTCGCTCTCGCAAGCCTTGGAGGATGTGAGCAGGGGAGGATCTCCTTTTGCTATTGTCATCACCCAGCAACACCAGATTCACCGCTCCTGTACAGTCAACATCATGTTTGGAACCCCACAAGGTACAGAAGCCCAAGTGGGTCAGAATTCCAGAAGTAGTCATTAGTCCATTAATTCTTTCATGCCTTACTCAGAAGAAGCAGGTTTTGGGCAAATGACTCATGTATTTCAGCTCAAATATAGTAGGGCCGTTTTATAAGTGCACTGGAGGAGACTTGCTTAGTCATTTATTTATTCATCTGATATTTTTTCAGTAGATATAGTTCTGGGCCTGCTGTATATATAAGACATTATATTTAGCCCTTAGGTATATACAGTGGTATGCTGGCAAATGTTTAACAACTAGTTCGCGGGCAGGGGTTATAGCATTTGCTGATTTCCGTGATACTCCCACTGTGTCCTGTTTCAAGCCGCCAACATGAAGTCACTACAGGGAGAATTGAGAAGAGATGCACACGGTCGGGTCTCGCCAGAGGTTTGAGAGCACACCTCTGGCATATACTACCCTGAGTGTTATAGAATCCTTGCTTTTGCCCAGCTTTCTAATGAGGGACAGAATACAACAGACAATTAGGGTACTATTTGTAAGTGTGCTAGAGAAGTGGGCAGAGGGGCTGTGAGAACAAGGAGGAGGCCCTGACCTCCTAGCAGCCCAGGGTAGGTTTCTTTAAGGTCTTCCCTGAAGTAGCTTTTAGTATCTTGTGCCCAGAATGTTGAGACGCAGCCAACTGATGCCCTGCTCATTGCTCTTAAACAGCACAGACTTTTCCCTTTTCCCTCCATACTGGGGATCTCTGTTTGCCTGGCTGGTTACACCCATAACCATAGAATACATCGGGCAGTCCAGTAGGTCATTTGTCGCTCTGAGGAATAGTCCTCAAGATGTGTGAGGACATTTATATAAAGTTCTGAGAAGTCTTCTCACCACTCTGTAAATCATGTTGCCTGATGGTGAGGAGAGGAGGTTATTTAGGGTCACAAAATGATCTTAATCCATGACCTTTGAACTGATGGGTTCAAAAACAGTAGGCCAGCTGTATCCCAAGGAGCACAGTGGAGAGCCAGGCTTTACAGCAGGGCTTTTTGGCCCCCTGCGGCCTGCCTCCAATGGTTATTCCCCACATGGTCTTTTTGAATCTGTGAGAAACTATCATGTTTCTTTGATTTTTGCTACAAGTGTGTGATCTAGGAATTCCCCCAAAGAACCAGCTCTGTACAAAGGTGTGTGTTCCCCACCAAAGAAATCCATTCACCTATCTTCCCAACCTTCATCTCCCTCCCCTCTCCAGGCTTCTGTCACGGAAACAGTTTTCCTGCTGGTTTGAGGTTAGGAAAGGCTTGGTAGCATCCAGCAGGTGAGCACTGAGATCTGCCATAGGGGAAAATAACTCATGTCATTCTCTCCTACAGAGCATCGCAACATGCCCCAGGCAGATGCGATGGTGCTGGTGGCCAGAAATTATGAGCGCTACAAGAATGAGTGCCGGGAGAAGGAACGTGAGGAGATTGCCAGACAGGCAGCCAAGATGGCCGATGAAGCCATCCTCCAGGAAAGAGAGCGAGGAGGCCCTGAGGAAGGAGTGCGCGGGGGACACCCTCCAGCCATCCAGAGCCTCATCAACCTGCTGGCGGACAACAGGTACCTCACTGCCGAAGAGACTGACAAGATCATCAACTACCTGCGAGAGCGGAAGGAGCGGCTTATGAGGAGCAGCACCGACTCTCTGCCTGGTGAGCTACGTGGCAGGGCCGAGGTGAAGTTCTGACTCTGCATTTCTCTAATCCCCAGGCTCTGTTGGGAGGGTGGCAGGCCCAGGGCTCTTTGGGGTGGGTAAGGGAAATGAGCCCATCTCTTGAGTTCTCCCATGGGCCATCCATGCTGATGTAATAATAACTTAAGATTTGGGCACTGAATTCTGATCCCTGTGGTTAATGTGGTGGTGGGTGGATTAGTACTGCAGGCTCCCTGGTAACCAAGATGGATGCCCTTTTTTCTTTAAGTAGTTCTCTGGGGAAACTAGGCTGTTTTCTGGAGACAGCACATACCGTGAAGTGGCCCCTTTGGGAAGTTGATGTTATAGTCTGTGTACTGTGTGATTGATGTGATCAGTGATTATTGTTCTTCCCTGGGCTACTAAGCCTCCTGCCCAGGGTGGGTACTTTCAACAGATACCTCCTCCTTCTGTCTTCTAGGCCCGATTTCCCGCCAACCACTCGGGGCGACCTCGGGTGCCTCGCTGAAGACACAGCCAAGCTCCCAACCGCTCCAGAGCAGCCAAGTGCTCCCCTCTGCTACACCCACTCCAGCTGCACCCCCCACCTCCCAGCAAGAGCTTCAGGCCAAAATCCTCAGCCTCTTCAATAGTGGCACGGTTGCGGCCAGTAGCAGCTCTGCATCTCCCTCTGTCGCTGCCGGAAACACCCAGAACCAGAATTTTTCCACAGCAGTGAACAGCCAGCCTCAGCAAAGATCACAGGCCTCTGGCAATCAGCCTCCAAACATTTTGGGACAGGCGGGATCTGCTCGGAACATGGGCCCCAGGCCTGGGGCTCCTTCCCAAGGGCTCTTTGTCCAGCCTTCCAGTCGCCTGGCACCTGCCAGCAACATAGCTAGCCAGAGGCCCGTGTCTTCCACAGGTATCAACTTTGACAATCCAAGTGTACAGAAGGCTCTCGACACCCTGATTCAGAGTGGCCCTGCTCTCTCCCACCTGGTTAGCCAGACCACAGCACAGGTGGGGCGGCCCCAGGCCCCCATGGGATCTTACCAGAGGCATTACTGAGGCTATCTCTCAGCTACCCGGGCCCCCTCATCCCCTGGCCTCCTCCCACCTCTTGCGTTCTAAATAGAGTTATTTGGAGGATGTGCTCTGCACCTATCCAGGTCCACATCGAATGTCATAAGTTTCTACCACCTGCTCTCTGTTCTGCCCAAGGCTGTGTTGCTTATTCCTTCCAGAGTCAGAGTTTATACTGCATTTGGGGGTGTATCTTCTTTTGTTGTTTTTGTTTTTTGTTTTTTTTTTTGTAGAAAATAAATATCTCTGGGGTCCACTGGGCAGTATAGGTGTCTGGGCTCAGTTTATATTTTATGGGTTTCTCTGGTCTTTCTGTCGGCTGGAGTTGCGGGGGGAGGAGGAGGAATCCAAGCCCCAATTAGCTGAGTTTGGAATGGCATTTTCATGTCAACAGCCACTGCCCCTGTTCATTTTGAACCTACCCAGGTTTTCCAGCCTTGCACAGGCCAACCAGAGCTCCAGCTCCCGTCTGCAGCTCCCACCTAGGGTTGCGGAGGAGCAGACCAGGCCTGGCAGGCGCCGTGTCGCCAAGCCTGTCCCACATGGATGGGAGTCTGCTGGAGGAGTCATCCGTCAGCTGCTCGGGAGTTGTTGAGGAGTGGCCATGGCAGCCACAGAAGTAGCCACTTTTCTGCCTGACCCAGGGTTATTGATTTTTGGTTTTCTCTTTTTTCTTTTTTCTTTTCATTTCATTGGAGGATTTCCAATGGACTGAATAGCTCCAGTCACCAGCAGTTTAACATGAACTGTGAATCTGGGCCCCAACCACTCCTACCCCCCTTAACGGTTTCTGTCAGCCTCTCCATCTCCAGTGGTAGTTTCATGGAGTCGGTTCTGAGAAGGCAACTCTAGACTCGGGCAGTGAACACCCATTTTTTCAGTGATTGTTTTGAGCTTCTGGCTCAAAAGTCAGGCTCTTGTTTTCATCTGGACTCTTGTTCTGTTTTCTGAGCAGCAGGAGTTGGGACCATTTTGACATCAGACTTTTGGTAGCTGGACACGTTCTTGACACAGGTGGCTGTCCGTAACTTTTGAGCCAGAGTGAAATTATTAGCGAGAGGACTTCTGACTGCTGCTCTAAATGGAGCCAAAGGAGGCTGCCCTCTCCCTAGGGATGGTGCTCATTAGAGCCCTGTGGATCACAGTCTCAAGGGGCCCCTGGCAGGGATGAGGGAGAGCAGTGACTTCAGCTGAGTCCCTGCCAGTGGCTGAACAAGCAATGGTTTCAAAAACTCAAGGTCCCCAGATGGCAGCATTTTATGTTCTGACCTGTTTGTGTTATATAGTGTTTTTTTCCTCTTTGGAATTCTTGTGTTGTTAATAAGATGAGATGATTACTTTTTAATTAAAATGAAAAAGTAAAAGCTGTGTCGTCTTTTTTTGGGTGTGAATATCTGCAGGACCTCTTTGCAGAGCATTCCTTCCCAGGGTTGGAAGGCGAGGATTCATGAAGGAGTACTGACTGGTTTCAGTCTGCCATGTGGTCTGCCCACTCTTGTCCTCAGGCTGTGGTCAGGCCTCAAAACCTCTTGCAACCCTAGCTTCTCTTATTATGCAGCTCACCTAGTTAGAAGCTTTGATAACAGTTGAGAGCAAAAGCCTGCTGGCTAATTAGAGTGCTGTGTTCAACATCCTTGTTTGTGGTCGACTTTCAGTGTGTCAGCAGGCTTGTCCTCTTACTCTAGGAAAGGAAAACAGGACCATGAAGAGGCCATTTCTGGCCAATGGCCAGTGGAGTGAGGCACTCTCCCGTTTTGATTTCGTCTCAGTTGCCACCCTCTGTTCTGCCCAGTATGCAGGGAGTTGGCAGGACCATAGAGTCATAGAGCTGTAGAAGCGTTGGAGAGCATTTAATAGCCAACTGCATCAGGAAACTTGGGGTGGGTATGGTGAAGTGGGTGGCACAAGACCCCCAGTATTAGTGTTAGGGACCAAAATACTGACAGCGCTGAACCTGACCTAGTACATGCTCACTGTGTCAGAGAAGATAATGCTCGTTAGTGCAGTGCTCTCTCCACTAGCCCCTGTTGCCAGTTCCTTTGTCCTCTAGGACAGAGTCCCAGAACAGTCAGTACACAAACCAGACCTGGAGGATCAGCCCATCCCTCTGTCAGTGAAGGTCAGTGTTGCTGATTAAGAGTATGTGGTCCTCCTGAAGAGCCACTTTGAGTACCCCTCTGCTTCTTCCCTGAGTGTCCAAACAGCACACCTCAGGCTGTGAAGGGTATAATAAAATTATTTTTATTGCATTTTGTGCAGACGGGGGTCTAAAAAATTAATACAGTAAAAGCTGTAAAGCATTAAATGGGAGCATTCAACAGTAAAGGAAAGAACCAACCCTCTCCTTTTCATATTGGCACAAAGAACACAAGATCAATATTGAGGCAGAATGCAGAATACTGAAACACTGAAAATTAAAGGCAGGCCTAATAGTAATAAATACTCTTGATTTGGTTTGCAACTTCTATTTACAAGGGTTTTCAACTTCATTGCATTGCTCTGCACATAGATCGTCTAAAACAAAAGCAACGCTAGTTAGCACTACAAGGCTATTGAAATATTGCACTCAGAACAAAAGTCACTTGAATGGACATGAAACATCTAGCTACAATGATTATAAAGATAATTTGATGAATGACATGATAACGTTCATAACAAATATTGCACATGTAGCACAGAAAACTTGGGTTTTTGTTGTAGGATGTTTGTTTTCATCAACGGAAACTTTGCTCTTGCCAACCAGACAGTCCGGGCCCAGATAGTGCAACTTTGGTTCCCTAATTGGTGTTGATGCATCCCCTTCCCCTTCTGCCCAGCCCACCACTTCAGCCCCAGAATGCTCAGGCCCCCAGAAGGCTAGACCCAGCTGTGGTTCTCAGAGGGAAGTCTTTTGGAGGATGCAGTGGGGCTGGTGTCTAATACCTCCAACTTTCTGATTACCAGCTGGAAGAATCTATCTAGCCCCAGATCAAATCTCAGAGGGGCCTTGGCCTAACCTGCAGACGTCCAAACCCACCTCTAGCCACACCTGACCTAGTCTAGATGGCACCAGCTCCAGCTCTCTGCCTTGGGCTCAAAGAAAGGAGATGGTGAGGTCAGGAGTACCCAGTAGCCCCAGCTCTGGGAGGTGGACAGGATGTCTTAAGTGTGAAGGTCAGGGCCCTGGGGCTGGAGGTACTGTACCCAGTCCCAGAGGGCGCTGGAACAATCATGCAGCGCCTGTCCCCCTTAGTAGCGTGCCCTGGGGGAAGGGAACCCAGCCAATGCGCCTTCTCTAGGGATAGAGGGCGCCTCGACTGGGCTAGTGGAGCAGAAGCGCCAAGGACTGGAGTTGGAAAAGCCAAAGGCCTTGGGTCCTAGGTGGAGAAGGGCAAAGAGGCGCTAAGAACCAAGCACATGGCGACTCTAGCCCTCCCCCCAGCCCAGATGCCTGGGAAACACAGCTAGACGCTGCTGCTAGGCAGCAAAGCCAGGCCCGGGGATGCAGAGAAGGCGGCTTGGGTCCCCGGAGCTGCCAGCTGCCGGATGGGGGCAGGGGAGGGAACATCAGGGGCAGCGCTGGGGCCTCCCCGGTGAGACCCGCCCCTGAACAAAAATCGCCCCCCTCCCCCCTCACCTGTCCCAGGGAGGAAACTCCCGGGAGGGGATGCGCTCCAGCTCCCCGATTTCAGTCTTTGGCTAGGAGCCCTGGGATAGGGGGAGCAGGCGACAAGCCGACTGAGGAGAGATGCCTGCCCCTCCCCCCCCGCAGGAAGGCACCGGGGCGGGGCTTCCTCGGTGGGGCGAGGCCTCTTGGTTTCACCCCCTTGAGGAGCGCCCCTCCCCCATCCTGGCCCCAGCTTGCATAAGAGCCGATAAGAAGAGGCTGCGCGCGTCTCTGCAGCCGCAGTGGAAGCTCATATCTGCTGGGAGGCGAATCCAGGAAAAGTTGGACACTTGTCTCACCTCGTCAACCAAAAGAACTAGAGGGAAGGATCGGAAGCCAAGGGCGCGCGGAAAGGGCGAGAAGGCGAGAGCAAGGCGGGGGTGTCGAGGGACCAGGACCACGACTCCCGCCTGGGCCTCAAGCACTTTTGCTCTCAAACTCTCGGGACGTCAAGGAAAATCCAGCCTCCCGAGGCCTCCGCCTCCTCTGGGCGCCCCCAGCGGAAGAGAGCTCGACAGTGGCGAGAAGTCCGTTGCGCTTCTAGTCACAGAAATATGGGGACGTTAAAAATACACGCGATGTCTCCTGTACACTATGTATAGGCTCTGCCGGCCCGCGCCCAGCGGCCCCGCGAGGAGGGGCGGCGGAGGCGGCCGAGCGCGGCTTCCCCACCCCGCGCCCCCCGGGCCGCCGGGAGCAGCGCCGGAGGAAGGCAGAACGAGGCCGCGGGCGGGGCGCGGAAAGGGGGAAGGGGCCGCGCGGACAACCTGGGGTGGGGGGGGGGGCGTCTCAAAGCCCCAGCTCCTCTCCTCTCCGCGCAGCCTCCCGACCTTTATTGCAGCGTCTCCTCCGGCGGGGCGAGGCCGGGCTTAGAAAAAGGGCAGCGCAGCCGGGACCGAAAGAGCCACGCCCCAACCGGGCGCTTGGGGCTCTGGTCCCCGCACTGGGGCGGTCCTCTCCGAGTCAGCCCCGACGGACGTGGCCTCCGGGCTTCCGGCAGCGGGGAAAGGGGCCGGGGCGCGGGCGCAGGGTCTGTATGTAAACGGTGACAGCGGCGGGGGGCGCGGCGAGGGCTCCGGGGCCGCGGGCCGGGCGCGCTCGGGCCCAGGTGGCAGGTCTTGGCCCTCAGGAGTAGATGGTGATGACCTCGCGGCCGCCGCCGCGGACCAGCATCACCCGGTCCAGGTGCTCGGTGAGGACCTCGAGGAACTCCATGTCTGAGCGCCCGTCAAGGAGAAAGACCCGTCCCTTTCCCTTCGGATGGAACTGAGGTCGCGGTAGGCCGCCGGGGAACTCTGGGCCCGCGTCCCTGTCCGAGGTGCTGATCCTGAAGCAGCAACGGCTCAGCTCTTCCATCCCGGGGCTAGGACCCAGATCCCTTGACGTCCACCTCCCTCTTCCCACCAGTTTTAAGTCCAGGATACAATTTTCGTCACCGTTGCGGTTGCGGGGAGGCCCAGGCATGTTGAGCAAAACAAGCTTGGCATCCCGGGATTTCTTCACGATGACCTCGTTCAGCCGCACGGCTGTATGCATGCGCCGCACGTTGGACTGGTTCCTGCGGGAGGAAGGAGGGGAGGAGAGCGCGTGAGCCCGGAAGAGCAGAGAGTTGGATCCAGTCGCCGGGGGGGTAACCAGGTCCTGGGCTGCTGGGACCCCCTTGCAAGCCGGGGACCACCAACCCCAGACCTCTCCAAGCTGGGTTATTCAGAGACCCCAGAGGTCAGGGGTCAGGTCAGGGCACGAATTGAGGGTTCATGATAGAGTGAAGAGAGTGAAGGATAGGGACCCTGGCCAATCCAGGAGAGAGAATTTAAAAACTCTGAAGCACTTACAAGTTCTCCCATTCCCTTCAGGAAACACAAGAGAAGCAAAGTGAGGAAGAAAAAGAGAGGAGTCAGAAAAAGCAGGAGAGGCTGAGGACTTGAGCCACCATCACCCACCCTGAGTGCACTCTGGCCCTGCTCTCCCAGCCCCCCAGCCATCACCTTTCCACTGCCTGCACCTGGGAGCTCTGACCCTTAGCAATCAGGCCCAACCCCCGAGTCCTCAGATGGGGTCTGGGCTGGATCTTCAGACTGCCAGACCAGGACCCCTTCTGCTCGTTTGCTCTGCCATGGGGAGCAAAGACCCATAGGCTCACTCCAGACCCCAGCCCTTAGCCCCCAGGCC